TGATGAGTGTCCCCATGCTGGTCTTCTCTATGCTGCATGTTCGGCTGCAAACTGGACATCTCTCGAACAACTGCAGCAGGCAATCTAATGAGATGGTGTGGACTGGAAGGGCCTTTGATATAATAGAGTGATATAATAGATAGCCATGTGGTAAATTGCATTTTGTTCTAAAGAAAGGACAAAGCTTTTTGCTAATGCACTTCACAACCAAAATGTCTCTACTGTTTGTATCTGCTTGGCTGGGGAATTAGCCTACTAGTTTATCAAGACGGGTATTTTTTAATACAACTTTTCACATAGCACACATTATCTGTCATTGTTGATAAAGCTGTCCATATCATCAGGGCACAATTATAAACATAGCTTGAGAAATAACGTAATCTCGTTTGGAAGCTAATTCTATGCTTTACAGATTTAGACTGACTAGCTCCAGATTGGATTAGAGTCAGGCCGGTGACACTGTTACACTATGCAACCAACTGTGACATGTTTTGTTATGTCCCTGGGTTGGTTTGAGTTTGTTGCTGCTAGTTAGTACACTGTTGTAGTCAGACATGAGTGAGCTAGTACCACCATAGCTGCATCCAATATTTATTTGTGCCCCTCAGAGGCTGTGACGGTTTCGTCTAAATTACACTAACTTAGTGGCATGGAAATACGATGACATTGCTAAAGTAGCCAAATAATTAGTAGGAAACAACTTTGCCGTATTATGTCATCAAATTTACTTTAGAGAGATGCCAATGTTGTCATTACTGTTACTAGCAAAAGTTTGTCAAAAATAGCTAGCAATGCTAATGTTAGCTGGCTAAAATATGGTGGTCCCCTCAATCTTAGTTAGCTGGCTAAAGTTATACTGCATCTAAAGTCAGTCTGGCGACATCACAATCATGACAAAAGGTTTTCCTACTAATTATTTGCCTTCGCTTTGAAGTTATTGTGTTCCAAGACAAATCTGAGTTGTATTGAGGTAGGCTAACGTTAGGCAGCTAGCGAGCTAGGTAGCTAGCGAGTTAGGTTAGTTAGATAGCTTGTTAGCTAACGTTGCTTGGGTAGTTAGCTAGCTAACATCAGCTATGCTAGCGATGATAGTGATAATGATGATCAAAATATACATAACCAGCAGTCTATGATTTAGCTACTGGTATAATCACCACCACTGGGGACCAACGAACTCCAACCACCTATTCCGCATGATAGCGTCCTTCGGCAGGGCATGCAAACCATAGTTGGTCAATCCGTATAGGGCTTTTCGGTCTCAAACGGCCCTGATCCTTTGAACGTGTTGGGGGCGATTGAACATAACGTAGCAGGCGTAAAAGAAACAACAAGAAACAAAGGAAACAACAGAGCCCCATTCAATGAAGGGAAGCGGAGTGAGCAGAGGGGTGATTTGCACATGGAGCTTGGCGAAAGAGAGCATGATTTGTTGACATAATTGTAATTCCAAAATTTGCTTTAGATGAGACTGATTTTATATCTTAAATGATCCTATTTACACTTCGTAGTACATTTTGACACTAGAATAAATGTTTCTGACTCGATGCCACACAGGCCGTTTTCAAAGGGACTAGTTGTTTTTAGAGGCAGTCGCTCTTTAATGACTGCTGCTGTGGTATGATCAGAATGCCCATGTCTTCACTGTCAGCGCTGTGCTTGTCAGGGCAGGGGGACTGGGAGAGCGGGCCTGCTGGGACAAACAACATGGCAGGGGAATCACTCGGCACATTCTGTTCTTACTGACTGACTGGCTGGCTGATTGTTTGACTGACTATTGTGACTTACTGGATAGCTGACTGACTTGCTAGCTGACTGACTGGTGTGACTGACTGACAGGCTGACTGACAGGTGTTAGTGAGGAGTTATTCTCACCGGCCCCGGCCGTATCCTGAACCTGAACAGGCCATTTGCTGTTTAGTCACTTTAAAAGATGCATCGCTGAAACCTATTATGAGTCATGCATTCAAAGTAGGCCTACAGTAGCATTCTCTTTCTCTGTTCCCTTTCTCATTTTTTACTTTCTATACTTTCTATTTTTACACTGTCTCGGGTGTGGGTGTGTGCGCACACATGCAATTTTGTACTCTTAAGTATTGTTAACCAGTATTGAATTTTCTTCCTGTATATAACACAGGTTAGGCTACTGACGGTAGAAAGAGGCTATTTGCGTGAGTCTAATCCCTATCATTAGATGTATGCTGTGAACCTCTTAGGGCGGCCCTATGTGTTGTCAAAACATAAAACACTTAGTGACAGTGGTCTCTCGACCGCCATACGTTCCCTCTGTTCTCCCCCGTTCTGTGCCATTTGGGACACAGGCAGTGCCTCTGATTGAACCGTTTACCATGCAGGGAGGTTATTATTAAACCGTGCCGTCACATCATTGGCAAGCAGCGAAAGGAAAGCGAGCTGCAGGCAGGCATGCCAGGGGGGCTGTTTTCACCTTGGAGCACAGACTGAGGCTCAGCCGGGGCAGATAGGAAGCGAGAGGATGCGCTAGAGGTCAAGACATCCCCGTGGATACACCCCGCTTGTTTATGTAGCTGCTCCAGACCCACTTCCTCCCTCCCTCCCTCTCTCGGCCTTCTCAATCAACGTACTGCACACAGCTAGCTACAGTGTAGACTGTACATGCATTATAACACACCCATAATACAAGTCTGTCTACAGCTCTCTCAAATGCATGTGCATAGTGTGTACACACAGCACACTCACACACACACACACACAGCCGGGGGTGCGATAACTTTTCTGTCACGCAGTGTCAAGCTCATTCGAGACCATTCTCTAAGCTTCTCTCAGAGATTGCTGCTGCACATAAACAGACTGGATGAGGATCAGTCATTTTGTTTATGCACCATTCTCCTTCAAACCCAGTCTCAGTGGGTGTCTGGGCTTTTTTAAAAAAAATAGAGACCTGTTGTTCTGCTTCCCGATCGATATCATAAGAGGTGTTCAAACTGAGCTCAACGCTGCTTTCTATTACATTTAGCAGAACGTAGCTCTTCGCGTTGCTGCGTTTATCTGCGGCTGAAGGTAGCCTTAGACCTGCAGAGAAAATAACTATACTTTCAGTGTAGGTTTTAGAAACCTAATGGCTTGTTCGGGGGAAAAAAAGCCTGGTCATTTCAGTTGAGCCATAAGTAACTACACTTTTGCAGAGAGAATCGACCTTGCTGGAGGTTGGTTGGAACACAGGCTGTAATGTGAGAGTGACTTTATGTGCACTGATTGACTTATTTCAAAGCAGCCGTACTGTGTTTGAACACGGGGCCAAAGGCAATTAAGAGAAACCGCTGTGCTAGCTGGTACGTAGACATTGGCAGAGGCAGAGGACATGGAAGAAGGCATTTAAGACAGCTGGGTGTGTGTGTATATATATATTTGCGAGAGAAAAAAAATGGGGGATTGGAAGTGATGCAGACAATTACATTGGTGGAAGTTACAATCTATCTGCAATATTAAAGCTGATCTACTCCTCCCCCCCACACCAAAATAAAAAAAAGACAGCTGGGTCATGTTCTGTAAGGGAGAAAAGATATTGGAACAGGGAGGTACTTAGTACCTACCTGTCTAGTGACAACATATAATTTTTGTTGCAAAACATTTTGCTACGGTGTGCACTACTGAACACAACCTTGGATAGGATCGTTCTGTATTGTACTCTGTTCTACTCATTATCTGTAATGTCTCACAGTACAGTGTCCCTCTGTGCGCTTTGTGGTAGAGACATGGGGCTCTTCTTGGGTGACCTTGCAGAACAGAACATATGCTCGGATGAACACCGTCCGCTCAGCTCCTAGTGCTGCTGTAACGTAACAGACATAGCAAAGGTCAAGTTCAGGACAAACTGCATTCGCCTCTGGGTGAAATCCCACTGGTCGGGTCTTGATTATCACTGATGGTGATTGAATATTGACCATGGCCCCTGGCCTCCTGCATGGCTGAATCATAGTCTGGTAGGGGCCACATTCCAATAATACCAAGCAGCAGCATCCTTTCCTATGGCCTATTTCCTTGTGCTCACTGATTTAAACAGACTTGATGGAGTTAGACTAAGCATCATGGCATGAAAACAGCAGAAACATGATTCCGTGTTGCTTGTAGGCCAACAGTCCTGTCGAATCAGTGCAGGGTTTACAGTAAGTACATTGCAAAGGAAACCATGAAGAGTATTGGGATGAAGCCTAGTTGCATCTTTGTGTCTGCAACAGGGGAGGTTGCTGCGTTTGGTGTCAGGCTGGGGGAGTAAGGCAGGACTGTAATTGTGGCACTGCTCTGCTGGAATGGCGACCCTGTCATTGTGGTGCTGGCAACCCCATAGACAGACGAAGCCCACATTTTTAGGACCCGCCCGAGATCAGAGCTAGCTAGGCTATTCCTCTGGGCTCAGTGGCATATTTCTAAACCGTTCCGCTCCTTTAAAGAGTAACGTTACAGTACTAATGACTCATCATACAGAAGGATGGAAATAGCCTTATTCTATGCCAGGGGTTTGTATCTATATACAATACGGTGCCTACATGTGCATGCGATAGCTGCAATAAGATATGATTTGATTATGTCCACTCTTTGCCTAGATGACTACCAGCAGGCATATAGTGGATTATATGTGTTGCGTTTGGTGATAGCGGTTGTAAGCTTTAGTTGAAACTGTCTTTTAAATTGTTTATTTTCTTTTTATACCACCCTCTGTAGGTGTGAATGGGACCTCTGTATGTTTAGGCTTCTATTTGTTTCTGTTGACAAGTTTGGTAACAGAGGGCCTGGGTATTGCTTTGCTTCACGGGCTCTTTGCACAGCGTCTGGAAATAAAATCTAAGCGGAACTCCACTGTCACCATGGAGAGAGACAGAGCCCAGTCAGAAACAAAACTTTATATTCTAGCTTTTGGAATGCTTTGGGAATGACACTGGGAAGCTAGGATATAACTTGGTGTCCTCTTTCTCTGTCCCTCTCTCTCTTCCATTCTCTCTCTGTCTCCTCTTTGTCCATGGCAGCTCCTGGAACTGTTTGACAGCGAGGACCCCCGGGAGAGGGACTTCCTGAAGACTGTCCTGCATCGGATCTACGGGAAGTTCCTGGGGTTGCGGGCTTTCATCAGGAAGCAGATCAACAACATCTTCTTGCGGTGAGTGAATAGTGAAGTGCCCCTCGTTCACAGAAACAAACAGCAGGGCCTCCTTCAGAGACCCACACAGGGATCCGTCAAACTGGGTTTAAACCCCCCGCAGCTCGGCCCATACAAGGTCCATGGCCGTATTCATTAGGGCCTACCGTAGCAAAACGTTTCGCAACGGAATAGAAATTAGCATTTATCATTGGACGAGTTCAGGTAGTCCACGCTTGTTGCCTAATGAATACGACCCTTGTGTTTTTCTCCAGTTGGCTCTTTTTACAATGTGAGCACTGACGACCTCCTCTTTTCACACCGCAACCACCCATATGTCTCTGAAATCCCACACCTGTCATTTAGCTTCCCCTCTTCTTTCTGTCAATGCCCTGGCTGAGAAGGGGAACTGTGCTGCTGTGAGTGTTTCCTTGGCAGGCTTTCCCAGCCATGCTCTTTCAGACAGAAACAGCAGCAGCGGCTTGGGGACATCTGGTAGATAGACTACGTCAGACCCCACAGCACATCTGGTGTCAGTGCACAGAAAATGTCCTTTGGTCATAGGGTCAAAAGTAAAACGGGACTCTCATAAAGGATAGTTTTAGACTTTCTAGATGCAGTACTATGATGACAGTAGAGTCATTATTTTGGATTGCAATAATGTTGAGCTTTTCTCAATCCTTCGGGCTCCACTCCTAACCCCAAACATAATGTCTCATCTCAAGTCACGACCACTAGCAAAACAGTACCTCCATTCGCATTACTCAAGTATATTAAAAAAAGAAAGAAAAGAATCATGTGACACAGAAGCACAGCAGAGATTCCTGTTGCTCTGGTTACAGAGAAACGCTTTACTCATTGTTGATTTTGGGAGGGGCCGCTCGACATTGACCATCTGCCGCCGGGATTAAAAATGCCATCGGAGGGCATTCAAGTGCTCCATTCGAGCCTCCATGCCCTCTGCACGGTCTGACTGGCAGGGCAGTGCCAATGGCTTCCAGACAGCCCAAAATGGGTCACCCAAAAAAATAATTGTTTAGGGGGGGTGAGCTCTGTTCGGGCTGTTGGGTCTACTGCTCTGCTTTCTGCAAATGAGGTGGGGGGGGGGGGTTAGTTGGGTTAGGAGCGCTACAGAGGCTGAGCACATTTTACATCTTTTACACGTTGTGATTCGACTCGGTGAGCATCAATGTTAGCATCTATTTTAGCCTTCCTAATGCACTGTCTTACTCTCTCTGCTCCATTGTGTCCAATCAGAGCCATATGCTCCGCTAGTTGCTGTGTAGTAATTTGAAGTTTGATGATGGTGTGTGTTTGTGTTGTCTGATTCTGGTAGGTTCATCTACGAGACCGATCACTTCAATGGAGTGGCCGAGCTCCTGGAGATACTGGGGAGGTGAGTCCAGAGTTTTTTGTGGTGTGATTTCAAGCATGCATCGACAGCATCAACATATATCAAGGATCTTTGACTCTAGCTGCATGCTGCACAAAACTGCAGCAGCACAGCAAGCACATTACATTTTATTAGGTGGAACTAGGACATGAAACCATGTACACTCATATGCCATAATATCTCCATTTGAGCTAATATTCTCATATCGGTACACTAGAAGTTCCCTTTAGTGTTTCTACAGGCCGCTCTGCTGTTAACACTTTAAAACCACAGAATTCTGGGAATCTCAGTCGCAGCTGGGGGCGCTTCCTGTTTAAAAAATATTATGCGTTATTTTGTTCAACAGTGAAATGTCTCCCTGGTTCTAGCTATGAATACTCATCTCTCTCTGCCTCTCAGACCACCCACCCTGCCCTCCGTATCGTGTGTGTGTGTACTGTCTCTCATGCATGTGTGTTTGCTAATGTTTGCCTCTCAAGGCGATGATTGATTGGAGCGTTGTTTTTGTATATCCGCAGCATCATCAATGGCTTTGCACTGCCGTTGAAGGCGGAACACAAGCAGTTCCTGATGAAGGTGCTCATCCCCATGCACACCGCCAAAGGACTGGCCCTGTTCCACGCACAGGTAACCAAACGCCTAATACAAGATCATTAAATAACCCATTTTAAGAGTTTGCTTTAACTACTCTCTCTCAGAAGACAACCATTCTTCTATTTTTAGCACCTATCTAAATCTGAAAAAGATAACTGGCATAATGTGGGTTTTAAAGTGAAATATAGGTAAAATGTTATACAATAGTATGATGTGGTAATTAGCTTAGCTACCCGGTTGTTCTGTCAAGTCAGTCTTTGTGAACAGTAGATGATGTAGAAGCCTGTGTAAGCATAACTCTCATGAGCTAAAATGAAGTGCTAAAAAAAAAAGAGCCTTGGACAACAGTGCCATCTAGTGGCTGTATTATACACTTGAAAGTGTACAAAACATTAGGAACACCTGCTCTTTCCATGACATAGACTGACCAGGTGAAAGCTATGATCCCTTATTGATGTCACCTGTTAAATCCACTTAAATCAGTGTAGATGAAGGGGGCCAGACCGGTTAAAGAAGGATTTTTAAGCCTTGGGACAATTGAGACATATGTGTATGTGTGCTATTCAGAGGGTGAATGGGCAAGACAACATTTTAAAGTGCTTTTGAATGGGGTATGGTAGAAGGTACCAGGCGCACCGGTTTGAGTGTGTCAAGAACTGCATTGCTGCTGGGTTTTTCACTCTCAACAGTTTCCGATGTGTATCAAGAATGGTCAACCACCCAAAGGACATCCAGCCAACTTGACTGTGTGAAACATTGGAGTCAACATGAGCCAGCATCCATGTGGACCGCTTGACACCTTGTAGAGTCCATGCCCTGACGAATTGAGGCTGTTCTGAGTGAAAAAAGGGGTGCAACTCAATATTAGGAAGGTGTTCCTAATGTTTTGTACACTCGGTGGATAGTACACACCACATTGGAATGTTTCTGTTAACAATAAGTACGTAAGCTCACTTGCCTGTTCTTTGTCCTTTCAGCTGGCCTACTGTGTTGTCCAGTTCCTGGAGAAGGACCCCACCCTCACCGAACCGGTACTCTAACTAACTAACTAACTAACATTCCTTACATTCTACTATGGGGACGCTACGTTCCCATACGGAAAAGTAATATATGGCTATAGATACACTACCGGTCAAAAGGTTTAGAACACCTACTCATTCAAGGGTTTTTCTTTATTTGTACTATTTTCTACATTGTAGAATAATAGTGAAGACATAAACTATGAAATAACACATGGAATCATGTATTAACCAAAAAAGTGTTAAACAAATATATTTTATATTTGAGATTCTTCAAAGTAGCCACCCTTTGCCTTGATGACAGCTTTGCACACTCTTGGCTTCATGAGGTAGTCACCTGGAATGTATTTCAATTAATAGGTGTGTCTTGTTAAAAGCTAATTTGTGGAATTTCTTTCCTTCTTAATGCGTTTGAGCCAAGTGTTGTGACAAGGTAGGGTTGGTATACAGAAGATAGCCCTATTTGGTAAAAGACCAAGTCCATATTATGGCAAGAACAGCTCAAATAAGCAAAGAGAAACGACAGTCCATCATTACTTTAAGGCATGAAGGTCAGTCAATCCGGAACATTTCAAGAACTTTGAAAGTTTCTTCAAGTGCAGTCGCAAAGATCATCAAGCGCTATGATGAAACTGGCTCTCATGAGGACCGCCACAAGAAAGGAAGACCCAGAGTTACCTCTGCTGCAGAGGATAAGTTCATTAGAGTTACCAGCCTCAGAAATTGCAGCCCAAAGAGATTATTGAAGTTAGCATGCCATGAGTCATAAGTCATATTATTTTTAAAATATGACAATATTGTGAAATGCTCATTTGCAATTGATGAACAAAAAGCTACTCACCAGTTATTGCGGTCACTTTTTCAGGATCCAATCAGTCTTTTTTCTCCCCATCTTCTCCCCTTTTAGCTTTGCCTTCTAGAATTGTCACAGCTAGGGCTGTTGCGGTGACCGTATTACCGCCACACCGGCGGTCACCAGTCATGAAGACAGTCAAATTCCACGTGACCATTTAGTCACGGTAATTAGGCTTCTCCAAGCTCTGATGCTGCTGATGGTCATTAGTAACCTACCAAACTTGCTAACTGCCTGGTACTCAGCACTCTATTGTCCCTCTAATCACTCTGACGTCAATGCAAATCTAATCGAAAATCTAATCAAACACTTCATGAGAGCCCATGAGCTCATGTTGCGCAACATTTCTGTAGGCTATGCAATTGTGTAAGAAAACAGAGTGATGGCCTCTATTTAAAAGAGGAGGATCCCATCAGATTTCTATAGGCTAGGCCTACTATATTTATTTCTCAACTTTCCTAATAAACTCAGCAAAAAAAGAAATGTCCCTTTTTCAGGACCCTGTCTTTCAAAGATAATTAATAAAAATCCAAATAACTTCACAGATCTTCATTGTAAAGGTTTTAAACACTGTTTCCCATCCTTGTTCAATGAACCATAAACAATTAATGAACTGACTCTGAAAAACACCAAAAGAAAGATGGCCTGGGTCCCTGCTCATTTGCGTGAACGTGCCTTAGGCATGCTGCAAGGAGGCATGACGACTGCAGATGTGGCCAGGGAAATAAATTGCCGTACTGTGAGACGTCTAAGACAGCACTACAGGGAGACAGGACGGACAGCTGGTCGTCCTCGCATTGGCAGACCACGTGTAACAGCACCTGCACAGGATCGGTACATCTGAACATCACACCTGCGGGACAGGTACAGGATGGCAACAACAACTGCCCGAGTTACACCAGGAACGCACAATCCCTCCATCAGTGCTCAGACTGTCCGCAATAGGCTGAGAGAGGCTGGACTGAGGGCTTGTAGGCCTGTTGTAAGGCAGGTCCTCACCAGACAGCACCGGCAACAATGTCGCCTATGGGCACAAACCCACCGTAGCTGGACCAGACAGGACTAGCAAAAAGTGCTCTTCACTGACGAGTCGCGGTTTTGTCTCACCAGGGGTGATGGTCGGATTCGCGTTTATCGTCGAAGGGGCCTGTACTCTGGAGCAGGATCGATTTGGAGGTGGAGGGTCCGTCATGGTCTGGGGCGGAGTGTCACAGCATCATCGGACTGAGCTTGTTGTCATTGTAGGTAATCTCAACGCTGTGCGTTACAGGGAAGACATCCTCCTCCCTCATGTGGTACCCTTCCTGCTGGCTCATCCTGACATGACCCTCCAACATGACAATGCCACCAGCCATACTGCTCGTTCTGTGCGTGATTTCCTGCAAGACAGGAATGTCAGTGTTCTGCCATGGCCAGCGAAGAGCCCGGATCTCAATCCCATTGAGCACGTCTGGGACCTGTTGGATCGGAGGGTGAGGGCTAGGGCCATTCCCCCCAGAAATGTCAGGGAACTTGCAGGTGCCTTGGTGGAAGAGTGGGGTAACATCTCACAGCAAGAACCGGCAAATCTGGTGCAGTCCATGAGGAGGAGATGCACTGCAGTACTTAATACAGCTGGTGGCCACACCGGATACTGAATGTTACTTTACTGTTAGTCACATGTCTGTGGAACTTGTTCAGTTTATGTCTCAGTTGTTGAATCTTGTTATGTTCATACAAATATTTACACGTTAAGTTTGCTGAAAACTCAGTTGACAGTGAGAGGACTTTTCTTGCTGAGTTTATTAAGCACATTGTTTATCTTTACAACAGGAGTATAGCCTACCTGGCTGGCATGAAAATGAACCACAGGAAAAGTGTCCTCCATTTGCTATTTTAAGTGCTGTTTCGAAACAGGTGCATAATAATGGTCCATTCTAAACAAAACTAATTTCACACATATAGTATTTAGTATATGTAAAGACTATTAAATCAAGAATAGTCTGATGGGTGACAATATTAGCCTATCACTTGTGAATGATATATTGTCACTTGTGAATGATGCCCAACATAAGAAACTGCCTTTTGTTTTGCAACTTTTTCTAATCATAGTCGCACACCTTATGTAGCCTAGCCCGTACATTTCACATTTTAGTCATTTTAGCAGACGCTCTTATCCAGAGCGACTTACAGTTAGTGAGTGCATAATTTTATTTTTTCATACAGTAGGCCTATATGTTTTGATAAGGTTTGTATCACAACTAAAGTGGCCAAATAACTTCTTAATTTAAGCACATTAATCCGCTTTACAAGGGGTTTAGAGGCTAACTGGCATAGATAAGCAGTGTGTTTCAAGTTTGGGGAAGATAATTTATCATAAAAATACACCTTTATAATAAAATCATTACATGCATAATTGCATTTGCGGTCACTTTTGATAATGGTGTTTTCCCGCTAATGGAACATTTGCGCATATAGCCTACTGCCATGTGCGCATTGCTGCGCTTATAATGTGAAGAAAAAGCCTAATAGTTTATAAACGTTCAGCCACATTGCATAAAATATTTTTTTTTTTACTATTGGTTGTATTAATTTGGGTTCTATTGCACCCCACCACTGTCCCAGACTATGTTTGGAATATTTATTTATTGCATAGAATAGGTCTAATTTTGTACTATGGGGGGTAGTAGATTGAAAGGCTAGTGCTTTTGCTGTTCATTAGGCCTACTCATCTTGGTGGCTGATGAAAAGTAAATGTGGACAGTTCTTCCAATATCTTCCATATGCACCTCGGAATTGGATAAGGATGTGCGCAGTTGCATCCCCGATGTGTCTTGTCTTCACTTGTAGCCTGTGAGAAAGACCCGATGACGTGATGGAGAGCCATGTGAGTGAGGTGCTTCGGATTGCGCAGGGCACAACGCAGCACTGCGGGCCGCAAAAGGCATGGATTCTTTTAGGGTGCATTACGACCACAAATGGGATTCCGCCATGAAATTCAAGGCATTATCAAGTGCTTGTCAAATTGTGAATGAGAGACTTGAATTGTGTACAGCCTGTGCAAAAAACAAAGCAGATTTCATGCCTTTCAAGTAATTTTTTTCAGATCATCATTAGTCTCATCATGCAGCCTTACAATGTATTAAAAATCTAAATATATAGCCCAACGTTTGTAGAACAACTAAAGTTACATAAATAACTCTAAATTAAGCATATATGAGGGACCTATTTCTTTGTTAACTGCTCAACACAGAATAGCCTCATGTGCGCACTCCCTCAAATCCTTTGGAGAAAATATTTATATTTTATTCAGCTTTGTTCAATTGTATTCTTCATACTATAAAATAATGCCTCGGGATTCTAAGAAAATCTTGTCTGCAAAATGAACTAGTGTAGCCCACAGCCATTTGGCATAGCCACAACATCAGGACATAACATAAGGACAACTCAGAGTATGCTATTCTTTTCTTCTGAAATAGACTACATTTTCTTCATATCATGCTTCTTTAGACCTGTCTAAAATAAATAATGGATTTATTGTGATGGGGTAGGCTATATTACATGGATTTATTATACTTTTCATAACGTAGATGTTCCAAAGGTCTGCATCAGTGTCTTGTAGGCTATGTGTGGAAGCCAGTAGATGCTAAATGTGTTTATGTTAATTTACGGTCAATTACCGTGAGACTAACAGTTTGCTTGACAATCACCGGCTGACTAAATTTCGTGACCGCCACAGCCCTAGACACAGCCAGATATTTACATTTGAGTTAGGTCTGGAGATAATGACTTTTATCTGTACAACGCTACAAATAATACATACATATACATACTGTACCACAGCCATTGTCGCATAGAATTGGAATGAGTAGAATGGACATTCTCATCCGAAAGTGTTGGTTTGGGTGAACAGCAAGTAGCCTCTTTTCACAGGCGATGTATCTCCAACACAACGCCTGTTATCCTTTATATGTGCATTCTGAGAGGGAGACACCAAAAAAAGTACCCAATGTGATTGAGCCTGAGAGCTCCTCCCTGATCTAAGGGCCTATGCCCATTCTAGTAATTCTAATTCTACGGTCTAGACAATCTCTGTACATAACTCTCAGGTTGCTTTTCAGCAACATGCCAACATCTAAAGCACCACACGGCGCTCTTGCCATCACAGTGGAACTGTTGGCCTGGTTGCATGGCCGCCCGCCAGACGTTCTTTGGGACTGAAACGTTCGAGCCTGGGTGAATTTCCATCTGCAAAAGATGAATAATTCAGTCAGATGCTATAAAAGACTAGAAAGTACTGTAAGTACAGTAACATAATATCCTCTGCATTTAAAATAGTCATACTAGCTAATACACTGACTTCTATTTAAAACATCTAGTGGAAAGCCTTCCCAGAAGAATGGAGGCTGTTATAGCAGCAAAGGGGGGACCAACTCCATATTAATGCCCATGATTTTGAGCAGGTGTCCACATACTTTTGGTCATGAAGTGTATATGGGTATTAAATATATGATCACTGCCATATATTACTTTTCCGTATGGGTTGTGGATGTCAGCTCTCCTGTGAAGCTGTAGGAATGTTGTGTGCTAGGAATGTGTGTGTGCCAGTGTCATATAGGGGACAAACAATGCTAGCTTCCTCAAACAATTTAGTCCAAAATCATGAATAGCTCATATTGTACCTAGGTAAATAGCATGTAAAATACTGCAGCGCTATCGTCCTATGCACAGTACTGTTGGGTTGTTGACTAAAGACAGACAGAAAAAACTAAAGGCTCTTCCTTGGATCTAAATGTAATCTGTTCAATCCTCAGGTGATTCAGGGGCTGTTGAAGTTTTGGCCCAAAACCTGTAGCCAGAAGGAGGTATGTATGTCTGGCTGTCTCAGTCTCTTTCTCTGTTATGACTGCTAGATGACACCGCACACTGGAGCGGATGCTGTACCTTGACTACCTTATGGTTCTAAACAGTGTACCGGCATCTGATTTCCTCATACGTGTCTTGTTGTTTCCCACCTGCCCTAGGTGATGTACCTGGGGGAAATCGAGGAGATCCTGGATGTCATTGAGCCCACCCAGTTCAAGAAGATTGAAGAGCCCCTTTTCAAGCAGATCTCCAGATGTGTGGCCAACGCCCACTTCCAGGTACAGTCTTGACTTCCAACTTACCTTTAGCTCCTAGTGGAAAGGAAGTTCGCAAAGGGCCTAAAAAAAAGTGCATCTCCAGCCTCAAGTCTTCTTGGGTATGACGCTACAAGCTTGGCATACCTGTATTTGGGAATTTCTCCCATTCTTCTCTGCAGATCCTCTCAAGCTCTGTCAGGTTGGATGGGGAGCCTCGCTGCACAGCTATTTTCTGGTCTCCAGAGATGTTCGATCGGGTTCAAGTCCGGACTCTGGCTGGGCCACTCAAGGACATTAAGAGACTTGTCCCGAAGCCACTCCTGCGTTGTCTGTGTGCTTAGGGTCGTTGTCCTGTTGGAAGGTGAACCTTCGCCCCAGTCTGAGGTCCTGCGCGCTCTGGAGCAGGTTTTCATCAAGGATCTCTCTGTACTTTGCTCCGTTCATCTTTCCCTCGATCCTGACTAGTCTCCCAGTCCCTGCAGCTGAAAAACATCCCCACAGCATGATGCTGCCACCACCCTGCTTCACCGTAGGGATGGTGCCAGGTTTCCTCCAGATGTGACGCTTGGCATTCAGGCCAAAGAGTTCAATCTTGGTTTCATCAGACCAGAGAATCTTGTTTCTCATGGTTTGAGAGTCCTTTAGGTTCCTTTTGGCAAACTCCAAGCGGGCTGTCATGTGCCTTTTACTGAGGAGTGGCTTCCGTCTGGCCACTCTACCATAAAGGCCTGGTTGGTGGAGTGCTGCAGAGATGATTGTCCTTCTGGAAGGTTCTCCCATCTCCACAGAGGAACTCTGGAGCTCTGTCAGAGTGACCATCGGGTTCTTGGGCACCTGCCTGACCAAAGCCCTTCTCCCCCGATTTCTCAGCTTGGCCGGGCGGCCAGCTCTAGGAAGAGTCTTGGTGGTTCCAAACTTTTTCCATTTAAGAATGATGGATGCCACTGTGTTCTTGGGGACCTTCAGTGCTGCAGTATTTTTTGGTACCCTTCCCCAGATCTGTGCCTTGACACAATCCTGTCTCGGAGCTCTACGGACAATTCCTTTGACCTCATGGCTTGGTTTTTGCTCCGAGATGCACTGTCAACTGTGGGACCTTATATAGACAGGTGTGTGCCTTTCCAAATCATGTCCAGTCAATTGAATTTACCACAGGTGGACTCCAATCAAGTTGTAGAAACATCTCAAAGATGATCAATGGAAACAGGATGCACCTGAGCTCAATTTCGAGTCTCATAGCAAAGGGTCTGAATACTTATGTAAATAAGGTATCTGTTTTTTTTAATTTTTTATAAATTTGAAAAATCTAAACCTGTTTTCGCTTTGTCATTATGGGGTATTGTGTGTAAATTGAGGATTTTAGAATAAGGCGGTAACACAATTTTAAAAAAGTCAAGGGGTCTGAATACTTTCCGAATGCACTGTATATATTTATATTCCAGACTCTGGTCCGGAAGCTAATTTTCTGCAATTCTATCCATTTTGGCATGTTTTTTTTTACTGTGTATTTAAATACTGTATTCTCAACATAGCTAATTTGAATATATCTACTACTATACATTGCATTTTAGTTACTGTTTATACACACCACATATTTATATATACTGGATTATTGACATACAATAGCTCACTCTAATATATCTACTGCTATACATATAATTCTTAGTACATCTTGTGTAAATTCATCCGGTGTACACTCAGTGGCCAGTTTATTAGTACCAGGTCGGACCCCCCTTTGCCTCTAGAACAACCTGAATTCTTTGGGGCATGGAAATGTTGCTCAATTGGTATCAAGGGACCTAACGTCTGCCAGGAAAACACTCCCCACACCATTACACCACCGCCACCAGCCTGTACCGTTGACACCAGGCAGGATGGGGCCATGAAATCCTGATTCTGCCATCAGCATGACGCAACTGGGATTCATCGGACCGGGCGATGTTTCTCCACTCCTCAATTGTCCAGTGTTGGTGATCGCATGCCCACTGGAGCCGCTTCTTATTTTTAGCTGATAGGAGTGGAACCTGTTGTGGTCATCTGTTGCAATAGCCAATCTGTGACAAGGACCGACGAGTTGTGCGTTTCGAGATGCCGTTCTGCACACCACTGTTGTACTGCGCCGTTATTTGCCTGTTTGTGGCCCGCCTGTTAGCTTGCACGATCCTTTCCATTCTCCTTCGACCTCGTCAACAAGCAGTTTTTGCCCACAGGACTGCCGCTGACTGGATGTTTTTTGTTTCAAATCAAATGTTATTTGTCACATGCGCCGAATACAACAGGTGTAGACCTTACAGTGAAATGCTTACTTACAAGCCCTTAACCAACAATGCAGTTAAGAAAAATAAGTGTTAAGTAAAAAATAAATAATAAAAAAAGAACAATAAAAAATCATTAAAGAGCAGCAGTAAAATAACAGTAGCGAGGCTATATACAGGGGGTACCGGTACAGAGTCAATGTGCGGGGGCACAGGTTAGTCGAGGTAATATGGACATGTAGGTAGAGGTAAAGTGACTATGTACAGATAATAAACAGAGAGTAGCAGCAGCATAGGGGGGGAGACAATGCATTTTGAGGATCTGAGGACCCATGCCAAATCTTTTCAGTCTCCTGAGGGGGAATAGGCTTTGTCGTGCCCTCTTCACGACTGTCTCTGTGTGTTTGGAGCATTCTTGGTAAAAACTAGACACTGTCGTGCGTGAAAAGCCCAGGAGGCCGGCCGTTTCTGAGATACTGGAACCGGCACACCTGGCACCGATGATCATTATTTTGCCTATTCTAACAATAAAATGGAACATTCACTGAATGCCTCGATGCCCGTCTGCCTGCTTTATATAGCAAGCCACAGCCACGTAGGAGCTAACCATTTTTGTGAACGGGATGGCGTACCTAATAAACTGGCCACTGAGTGTAAATACGTATAGATTGCATTTGGATTACTGTTACAGTGCTATTTGGGTTGTTAATTGGATTCGTTCCGACATTTCTTGTGTATTTATTTATTTTTTATAATTTTGTTGTGTACTTGTTTGACATGTTACTGCATTGTTAGGAGCTAGTAACAAAAGCATTTCGCTACACCCGCTATAACATCTGCTAAACTATGTACACAACAAATAAACGTTGATTTGATTTATGACACAGTGGAAGTGTTTTTTAAAAATGTAGTGCAGAGACATCATTCAGAATGGGATTCTGATGTATATGAGTTGGTGTGTAGTATTTGAGTGTTCTATGCTTTAGACATATTTGCATATTCCATTATAGTCAATGGCAAGTGATGACTCAACAAAATGTGACAACCAATTTTCGCTGAAACGAAACAAAATATAAAAAAAACAATTTGGGGAATCAACTACAAGCACATAAAGAGTGAAAGTAAGGCCACATGTAAAAATGGTGAACTTCATGTTACTGTCATTTGTTAGACTGCCAGCCCAGTTCATTTCCTCTTGATCCCTACAGGTAGCAGAGCGAGCCCTCTACTTCTGGAACAATGAGTATATCCTGAGCCTCATTGAGGAGAACATCGACAAGATTCTGCCAATCATGTTTGGTAGCCTGTACAGAATCTCCAAAGAACACTGGAACCCGTACGTATGCCACTCTCAGGTTCTCAACCCATTGCCCTCAGGGTAAAGCAGTAACAAGCAACGCAATGCTTAATACTGAACTCTTAACTATAGGTTGGGGATTTATGTATGACAAAATGGTATTGCTTTATTAGGGCGTAATACAAGGTTGTGTTTTTCTAGTTATCCAATCTCAGCATTGCTACTGTAGGATTGAGTGAGCCGGTAAGCATCTCCAGATGTGTTGAAGTCTGATGCCATTATCCCCTGTATGTTTCCAGGACGATTGTAGCTCTGGTCTACAATGTGCTGAAGACCCTGATGGAAATGAACAGCACGCTATTTGATGAGCTGACAGCCTCTTACAAATCAGACAGACAGCGGTGAGTGAGCTCTTCCAGTACCTATATTCTTTTTAGTTCTTCTGTCTAAACAAACAGTGTGAACAAACTAGTAAAATAACTAGTAAGGTATAAAGTTGGGAAACAACGCTGGCCTGTTTGCTTTGTACAACACATAATACATTGGATTACATTACCTCTGTTAGCTACCCATTTTCAAGGACAGTCAGTCCTTTAGTTCCCCTCCGTACCTAAGGTCTGACAGCGATGTGTGTGTGTCCAGGGAGAAGAAGAAGGAGCAGGAGAGGGAGGAGCTGTGGAAAAAGCTGGATGAGTTGAAGCTGAGCGATGCTGCAGCACTGGTGCAGAACAACAGCCACGGGCTCCAGAACGCTGCCCAAAACAACAACAACAACAACAACAATCACCACGACAACCAGGAGAAGAGCACCGCTGTCGCTGCTGACCATGAAGACCCTGTAGTCGCCATGGATACCACGGAGAGTGTTGAGGTCCTCACAAGTGCCAAATGACACAGGACTCCATTTTGTACTCTAACGGTTTCAAGGCCGTCTGAGAACTGTCAGGGAGGGGCTTGGGGGTGACGGGGAGGAGGGGTCTGACAAAATAGCAAAAAAAATACATAATTAAACCTCATCAGTATGTTCAATCTATATACAGTAAAACTACTTCAAATGCCAGCAATTCTCCTTTGGCAGAAAACGTATATTTCAACTTAAGACTATTTTGGGATGTTACAGTGTGGCCACAGTATATTGGTAAACTTATCCTTTCACATATACTTTCTTAACTGAGAAAATATTTGTGATATTCAATGTATAAAAATAATGACTTGAAAATAAAGTTTCTGATTGTGCTGCACTTAGAGAAGCTAATTGGCTATTGTAAGATTTGTCTTTTGAATGTGCTTTCATCATTGCTGACAACACTGGTGCAAACTTTAGGGAAGAGGGGTTCAGGGGGAGAGCTTTAGAGGGTGGGTGGAGACCATGGGAGACCATGGAGACAGGAATGTGTTCATAGTCCCTACCAAGGAGACCTGAGTGAATGTCATTATCATGAGGTCTTGTGTTTTCGGGTGTTTGATATACTTATCTGAATACATGATGCTTAACATTATAGCTGTTATTATAACACATTCAAGACCTGCAGCCATAAAACCTATTTACAGTAAGTATTTGAAATGAGCTTAGTTTAGAGAAACGAATGATGAAACGGGCACAGATTTACGTACGTATAACATATTTTTCCAGTTTAAATAGAGAATCGATTAATTAAAAAAGCAGATGTAGAAAAAATAATTGAGCCATATATTTTTTTCCAGAGTATTGTTAAAGACAGAGATGTTGATTTTTGAAACCAGGTGGTGGCAAATTGTCTGGTTTCTGCAGATTAAACATGGCTGGATGCAGTGTGTGTATGGGGGTTGGGGGAGTTTGCTTTAAAGTGAGTGTCTATTGTAGGTCCAGTCTTTTCTGATGCCTTTCTGTCAGTGTACCATTCCAATCTCTGTGACATACAACTGTGTGGGGAACCTGTTTTGTAATGACAGACCTTATCTAGGTTTTGAACACCATCAAAATAAAGTCTACCTTATGTTTCTACTCAAAAAACCCATGGGTATGGCTCTCTTTTTCTTTCGTCTTGAGTTGCAGCAACATTTTAAGTCACAAGATGGCCCCGAGTTTAAAATTAATCTTGTATGTCGGGGAATTGTAGTATGCTAATTTAAAACCCAATTTATCAAAAGTGAAATATAGTTTCTTAAAGATTTCAAACCCAGCACAGGTTTCACATTGTTGCCTTAAAGTTTACTTTTAAAATATTAACTTTGGATTTTTCCTCACTGATCTACACAACCCTCCACATTTAAAATGAAAACATTTTTAGAAAATGTCAAATTGATTAGGCCATACATATTTTATTAAATGTTTAATGGATTTCATTTTTGGAAAAGTGAGGCGAGCAAGCAAAGTTACAATGTAATAGACCAGTCTTAAAATATCACAGCATCTTTAGTTCAACACCTAACGACTTCATTGATCTTAGTGTCTTGTGGAGGCTAGAAGAAGCATAGTTCAATTGTATCTCTTTACTGGAAACTTGAAGACATATTTTCAGATGTATTTTTGTTGAGAAAAATAAAAAGGACATTTAATAAACAATTAGTAAACCGGAATGTTCAACTTGCAACAGTCTTCTCAGTGGTTGGGATGTAATCTAATCTTTTTTTAGAGAAGATTTTAAAAAGGGGCAATCTGCAGTAATCCCCGCCACCTTTTTGGTAAAAACGGAGGGAAAGGGCTGGAGAAATGTAACCACTCAAATTCATAGACAGAGCTATAGATGCAAGGACTTACCATGTCAAAATTATAGTTTTAACCATGTTTCGAGGCTATACAATGTTTGTTTACATTTCATATGTTTACAAACATTGGAGTAAAACAAGCGTATAATTTGGGGTCTGATTGGGTACGACAGTTGAACTAAGCTCATGAGGCATTTATAAGTTATTCTTCAAGAATAAATGGGTACATATTTAACTCCAGATTGCCCCTTTAAATATTACACCCCAAAATGTGGACTATAAAGTCTAAAAGGGAAAGGAGCAATTATTTATATACGTTGAAGTCTTCATATCAAGATAATTTAATAAAGTGACAATATACAGTATGCACTGCAGGCTGTGTACCTGAATAGTGAGTCGCTCACACAAAATAACCTATCTGTAGCTAATAATTGTTATCTCCAGAGACCGCGGCTGTGAGAAGAGAATACACATAATTGAGCGAGCGAAGGACATGTCACGTTATGCTAATTAGGAAGCATGAGGAGAATGACACAAACGTGATCCAACGCCACACGTATTTAGCTTTTCCTGGATATTAAATGTTGAGATAGTCAGAAGTCTTCAAGTTCCTGTGAGGTGATCTACCTTTTCCTGAAATTGTATCAAAAATGATCCTCCTGAACTCATCGGTACGCACAGATGTGGGTGGGAACGGGACTGTCTCTATTTTCTCCTCCAAACTCGCGCCCGGTGCTGACATATGTGTGGGGATAACCATCCTGTCCATCGGTGAGTTGGACTTCATTATCATCACTTTCATCTCTGATCATCTACAAAATGTATCCTAGAATATAGACAAGCTGATATTGTTGCCTATTTGATAGAGATGTATAGCACATGTTATGATTCATATTACACTGCTCAAAAAAATAAAGGGAACACTTAAACAACACAATGTAACTCCAAGTCAATCACACTTCTGTGAAATCAAACTGTCCACTTAGGAAACAACACTGATTGACAATACATTTCACATGCTGTTGTGCAAATGGAATAGACAACAGGTGGAAATTATAGGCAATTAGCAAGACACCCCCAATAAAGAAATGGTTCTGCAGGTGGTGACCACAGATCACTTCTCAGTTCCTATGCTTCCTGGCTGATGTTTTGGTCACTTTTGAATGCTGGCGGTGCTTTCACTCTAGTGGTAGCATGAGACGGAGTCTACAACCCACACAAGTGGCTCAGGTAGTGCAGCTCATCCAGGATGGCACATCAATGCGAGCTGTGGCAAGAAGGTTTGCTGTGTCTGTCAGCGTAGTGTCCAGAGCATGGAGGCGCTACCAGGAGACAGGCCAGTACATCAGGAGACGTGGAGGAGGCCGTAGGAGGGCAACAACCCAGCAGCAGGACCGCTACCTCCGCCTTTGTGCAAGGAGGAGCAGGAGGAGCACTGCCAGAGCCCTGCAAAATGACCTCCAGCAGGCCACAAATGTGCATGTGTCTGCTCAAACGGTCAGAAACAGACTCCATGAGGGTGGTATGAGGGCCCGACGTCCACAGGTGGGGGTTGTGCTTACAGCCCAACACCGTGCAGGACGTTTGGCATTTGCCAGAGAACACCAAGATTGGCAAATTCGCCACTGGCGCCCTGTGCTCTTCACAGATGAAAGCAGGTTCACACTGAGCACATGTGACAGAGTCTGGAGACGCCGTGGAGAACGTTCTGCTGCCTGCAACATCCTCCAGCATGACCGGTTTGGCGGTGGGTCAGTCATGGTGTGGGGTGGCATTTCTTTGGGGGGCCGCACAGCCCTCCATGTGCTCGCCAGAGGTAGCCTGACTGCCATTAGGTACCGAGATGAGATCCTCAGACCCCTTGTGAGACCATATGCTGGTTCGGTTGGCCCTGGGTTCCTCCTAATGCAAGACAATGCTAGACCTCATGTGGCTGGAGTTTGTCAGCAGTTCCTGCAAGAGGAAGGCATTGATGCTATGGACCGCCCGTTCCCCAGACCTGAATCCAATTGAGCACATCTGGGACATCATGTCTCGCTCCATCCACCAACGGCACGTTGCACCACAGACTGTCCAGGAGTTGGCGGATGCTTTAGTCCAGGTCTGGGAGGAGATCCCTCAGGAGACCATCCGCCACCTCATCAGGAGCATGCCCAGGAATTGTAGGGAGGTCATACAGGCACGTGGAGGCCACACACACTACTGAGCCTCATTTTGACTTGTTTTAAGGACATTACATCAAAGTTGGATCAGCCTGTAGTGTGCTTTTCCACTTTAATTTTGAGGGTGACTCCAAATCCAGACCTCCATGGGTTGATACATTTGATTTCCATTGATAATTTTTGTGTGATTTTGTTGTCAGCACATTCAACTATGTAAAGAAAAAAGTATTTAATAAGATTATTTCATTCATTCAGATCTAGGATGTGTTGTTTAAGTGTTCCCTTTATTTTTTTGAGCAGTGTATTTTAGTGGTCAGGTTATTCCTACAAGTTGCATTTTAGAATGAACCGTATGCTATACATGAGATAAGCGACTTTTATGGATAATAGTAAGTTAATCAGGCTTATGTGTACAATATGTTTGTTTTACAGATATTCATATAACTATTAACATTTGCTTATTGATGGTATGTAACCTACAGTACTAAGTATCAGGGCCGGTGTTATGTGCGGGCCTAAGGTGGCCTGGACCGCCCTAACGTACACTACCGTTCAAAAGTTTGGGGTCACTTAGAAATGTCCTTGTTTTCGAAAGAAAAGCAATTATTTTGTCCATTAAAATAACATCAAATTGATCAGAAATACAGTGTAGACATTGTTAATGTTGTAAATGGCTATTGTAGATGGAAACGGCTGATTTTTTATGGAATATCTACATAGGCGTACAGAGGCCCATTATCAGCAACCATCAGTCCTGTGTTCCAATGGCACGTTGTGTTTGCTAATCCAAGTGTATCATTTTAAAAGGCTAATTGATCATTAGAAAACGCTTTTGCAATTATGTTAGCACAGCTGACAATTGTTGTGCTGATTAAAGAAGCAATAAAACTGGTCTTCTTGAGACTAGTTGAGTATCTGGAGCATCAGCAATTGTGGGTTCGATTACAGGCTCAAAATTGCCAGAAACAAATAACTTTCTTCTGAAACTCATCAGTCTATTCTTGTTCTGAGAAATGAAGGCTATTCCATG